CCCCCCCCCAAAATAGGTTAATTACGAGTACGTTAAATTGTTATCAAGAAAGCAGATAACCAAAACTGAATTGGTCTTTTCTTTGTCGACCCATCTTCTGGTGGACCCTTTTTAACTCTTGTTACTACTAGCTGAGTGGTCCTTTTCCTTATTCGCTGCCATCTAACACAAGATGGCTTTCTTTATCTTTAGAATAAATAAAACAAGAGTGGAGTATTAAGGTAGTCCACAAAGCAAACTTACTAGGTTTCACATTGTATGAGGATACTGAATTTTCAAGCACTAATCAAATGGGCATCTTATCTTCTTTTTTGATAACGTTGCATGTGCCACCTTGACTATTTAATTCGGTATCACCCACCAACACAATTAATTAGTAATTTGTTAGCTAGGCAGATAAAAAGAAATCACCTAAGTGTATTTTGTCTTTATTCGAGTAAGGCTTAAACATTTAAAGTTGTTGTCATGTGGCCAGGAGGTCACGAGTTTGAGCAATAGAAACAACTTCTTGTAGAAATGCTTGCGTACAAATATACCCTTGTGATCCGGACGCGCGAGCATAGCGGGAGCTTAGTGCACCGGGTCGCCCTTTTTTCTTTTATCTTTTATTGATTGCTAGGCCACATGTTTTGTGCATCAAAATAGGCATTTGATTAGAGACCCCGTCACAATCAAGACATCAACATCACAAATAGAAATTACTCTCCTGTTATCTCATTTGCTTGTACTTATCCTTATTTAGGGTAACACCATAATTAAGTGCTGGTAGGTGGTGGCGGCAATGGTAGCAGACATGCATGCTTGCGACGTCTGTGAAGTGTGAACACAGTGATGGAGATCATGTTGTTTAGTTCACCAACTTTGAGTGATTCCAGCTCAGACTAGGGTAAATAGCCAAAAGGGTTCCATCCCTATTCAGAATCTTGATTGCTACCCCTTTTTGTTTCTTTGTTCCAGCTGATTTTTTTCTGTTTTCATGCAATATTCCAAAAGGATAACTTTGGTAAGTCTTGTAACTAAGCAATGACACTCATTTCTGGCCATATGTAACATAATTTCCTAGATCATCATCCTTTCTGTTTTATCCATTTTGTACACAACCCTAGGATAGAAAAGATGAAACAATTAAACAAGTGAGACTACGCAAGACATTATTTATCTGTATTTCTCTTGAAATTGTAATGGACAAATAACCATATATAGTTTGAACTAAGAAAATGGCCCTACTTAAAATATTTCTTATTTGCCTCCAATTTGGTATATATTTCATGGGAATGCAAGTTTTCTCATTGCTCGAGTCCTGAAAATTGAGAACTTTTTGATAGAGTGCGCTTTATCCCTGGTGGGTTTATTTGACACAAAATTCGAATTAATCAAACCAATGAGCTTTTGGTATCGGTGCCCGAAACAATTATTAAAAAACAAGGCTTCTCCGGATGTAGTTTCCCATCAATTTGGTGCTATGTTATGAGGTTTCTGATTCATGAAATAGAACACTTTTGCGCTCTTGGAAAATATATTAGATCTTGCACTTAGTAGTAAATTTTATTATAATTATATATTAAAAGACGTGTTACACTAAGGCCTAAGCAAGCATTTTACTTTTTTGTAGTCTTTCCTTTTGGTATTCGAAAGATGTTCATGTAATGAATTGTTACGCTTCACCATCCTACTCAGCTTTCACGGTCTTGCATTTTCCACTACTTTTTCATATGTCTAAATTTGTGGTGAACATGAAATAGGCGTGCATGAAGTAATTTCTATTCAAAAAAGAAGAAGAAAAAGAAACAGTTCACACTTGTTCAAATAACCATTAAAAGCTTGAGAAGTAAAACAAAACCATTTAAAGTTTGAGACAATTAAAAGAAAAGCAACAAATTTCACACGCTTTCAGGGATTGCTACACAAATAGCCGGTCAGATTTAATGTTTATTTTTTCTAACCAATATACATAGTTATACATGTATTATACATGAATCATATAAATATTATACATTCGTCGACTATTTTTTGTTTAAGAGATTAGGTGAGCCACTTTTTGGGTTAATTCTTCTTCAAAATTTGGGAAACACATAGAATAATGTTACAAAAATACCTGTGATATTTTTGTAGAAAATAACATAAGAAAATCTGGAATTTTGTTATGAGTTTCATTGCGCTGGTTTTGAATTAAGTTAGCTAGACAGTATATAGATGCATCATCAATGACATTATCCTCTCTTCCCTTTCCTATAATTTCAAGGAAAAGACAAAAGGATTTTCAAATATTTTCTAATAAACTCGTCTTATGTGAATAGTATTTTTTTTTCTTTTTTTGCTTTCTTGGTACTTGATTGGTCGGAGGTCACTCGAACTTTTAATTGGATTGTCTAGGTCGCCAAACAAATCACAAAATACAGCTAGACAAAGGGTGCTGAATTCAAGACACATGTAGTTATAATAGGATATTGTTATTATTTAGAACTTATATTGCATTATGTCATGTAGAATTTGGAGTCAAATCTACTTGCACAAGTTGAAGATATATGTTATTCCCAGCAAAATAAAATAATCATTTTCTGAAATATATATATGTATAGTGCCTTATAATGTTGACAAATATCATATTCTCTTATATAGTTTCATTTTCCAATACCAATTCAAAAGGGAAAAAAAGGTAGTTGTTATATCCTTGAGGTAGTGGCCAATGATTGCTCTTACGATACATTCCTTCTTTTTTGTTGATTGACCCCTAAAAATCTGCTGCTACCCCATATATCATGAGTCATGACTAAACAGAAGAAGAAAAAAAAGCACCGAAAAGATAATATAAAGAATTATATCTTAGCAGAATCTTAATTTAAATTTCATAAAAATTAATAACAATTATCATTCTCTTTTTTCTACCTTTTCTGGTATCACTTCTCATCTAATATAAAAGCTACAACTTGTATTACCAGAAAAAAGATACAACTTGTAAAAGAAATGAAAGGAAGCTTTCAGAAATAGCCTGATTTACCATTGGTAATTGAAAAATAGTCATAGTTCAAAAGTAATCGAAATTTAGTTACTTTTTTATATAAATACAAAATTTAAACAAAAACACCCTTAGAACTCCGGAAAAATTCCAACATAATATGCTGGAGTTCGAATCTTTTACATATGAGATTCCAGCATAATGTGTTGAAATTTCATAATGTGCTGGAGTTCCAACAAAATGTGCTTGAAGTTTATACACAGGAGCTACATAATCCCTGGAACTTACTGATGTTTCAGCTAGGGTGTTTTTGTCCAAATTTTATCTCCATATAAAATAGTGGCTATTTTTCAATAACTCTGCAAATGATGACTATTTTTTGATTACCGGTCCAAAAACTAGCTAGCCAATGCTATTTTCACTTTTTTCCATTCGTATATTTGGGCTTTAAAAGGTTAGTTGAGTCTAGATAAACCGTAGCCAGGCCGTCAATTCTGGGCTAATCTTAAAGTTGGAGGAACCCAGTCAAGAAGAACAGACACACATGTACTCAGCTGCAAGCCTGCAAGTATACAACAGAAGCCACAAATATCATGCATCCACCCCCATAAACGTTTCATCCAGTTAGATGCAGCTATAGAAAATTTAATTAAAAAAAGTTTTTATTAGCAATTTAACCAAAAAAAAACTTTAGAATTAAATAATTCGGCAAAGTAGAGATTTTCCTACTCAAGGTTTGTTTCATCAAGTGCCTCAGACATACGATTTCCAATTTCAATATACTTTTTCAGACCCCTCTCAAATTCCTCCGGGAAGAGACCTCGCACCCTAAGTAAATCTTTAAGCTCTCTTTCTCTTTGAGTATCTCCTTTTGATTGCAAGTACTTCACACAGGAAGCGAAACTATGGAAGTGCGGTTTCCACCCTGGCCGACTAGCCAAGATTGCTTTCTTCATCGTCTCGACTGCCTTCTCCATCTCGTTCTGTACACAATAACCGAGTGCTAGACGATTCCATGTGCTCCCATTAGGCTGCTTCCCACTCTCCAAGAGTTTATCTATGAGTGATATAGCCTTTTCCATATGACCCTTTTTGCAGTAAGCAGTTATCAGCAAATTTGGAATATTCACGTCAAAGTGTACCCTGTTTGCTTCCCACATGGCAAATATCTTCTCTGCGCCATCAAGATCACCCAACTTTTCTAGTCCACTTATCATACAATGATAGCTTGAATTGTTATTCTTAGTTCTTCTCTTGTATTTATCCCATACACGATACACATCTTCTTTCTTTCCCATGCTAGTATAGAGAGTAAGAAGTATGTCAACAGCAAGCGTTGCCCTTTTCCCCCTGATTTTGTGCTCGCAATACTTCAATGCCGCGGAAGCCTTTTCTATATCACCAGCTTTCAGGTATCCCTTGGCAGCAACTGTATAAGGACTCCAATCAGTCACCAGTGGATCAGCTTCCATTTTCATCAGAAGCTTCTTCATCTCCTCAACATCTGGAACAGATGCATATGCATTTAAGAGGATATTGTAGGTAATCGTGTTACCAAATATTCCCTTGTCTTCCATCTCTAGCATAAGTGAGTTGAGCTTATCAAGATCTCCCATTTTAGCATAAAGGGACATCAGGACATTGTACGCCACGGTGTTAGCATAGCCCAACTCCTTCAGCTTTTGCATGGTATCTTCTGCTTTTTTTAAGCATTTTGCATCAGCATAGACGTTCAAGAGAGCGCCATATACCTGGTAGGTTCTTAAATTATCTGGAATGCTAGCGAAATACTTCTCTGCGGCTTTCACACCATGGGCTTTTGATACCAAATCCAGTTGGACTGCAACATCTCCAGACAATACATCAAAATGCTTGGACTTGGTAATCCACTCATAAATCTGCGATGGTATAAGAGCAGAAATCAAGCATCCACTAGAGCCATTTGGTAAATTGAACCTATCCACAAGTCACAAAGAAAGAAAAAAAGTAAAATATGCAATCTGGTCTTCCTTGGTTCCCCAAAAGGTAGTGGTTTAAACAAAAATAGGGCTGATTAATACAAACTTGATGTGGGTGAATATAGGGATTTCTCTAGTTAAATCAGCACTAAACTGATTCAGTTGAAATATTTATATAAGGATTGAATATGCTAGTTACGAGGTATCTGTTACGAAGTCAAGTTGTAGAGAGGAGTTGATCATAATCAGAAAAAGAAAAAGAAAAGTCAGGTTTTATGGAGGATAATAGTTTAATTCATGTATAGTTTTGAAATCCACTTCCAGACCTGGTAAACTAATTGAATCAAATGCTCATTTTTTTCCGAAGAAGAATACAAAGGAAAAGTAGGGAAAGAGAGGACTCTTTTAGGACTGACTTTTACAACAACAACTATGCCTCAATCCCAAACAAGTTGGAGGCAGCGATATCAATCTTCACTTCTTTCTTTAAGCTCAACTCATATCATCATCATATCAAAATAAGTACAGCAACTCTACAAGAGCTCATCACTCTTCTTAGCTTAAAGTTCAAATTGATTAAAATGTGTTTGTATTTTGTTCAAACAAAGATGTGAGAAGGCACGGGAGAAAGTATTATTGATATTATTCTCTTATGTTAAACATGATACAATGAGCACTATATATATATAACATGTCCTACTCCTAATACATATGGGATTAAGGTTATTTACTACTATTTACATAACTATTCTAACACTCCCCCTCAAGGTGGTGCATATAAATCATATGTACCGAGCTTGTTACAAATGTAGTTAATACGAGGACCAATGAGGGACTTGGTGAAAATATCTGCAAGCTGATCATTCGACTTCACAAACTTTATAGCAATATCTCCCGAGAGTATCTTTTCTCTGACAATATGACAGTCAATCTCAATGTGTTTAGTTCTCTCATGGAACACTGGATTTGACGCAATATGAAGAGCAGCTTGATTATCATACACAAGTCCCATCTAACTAATCTCACCAAATTTTAACTCTTTGAGTAACTGTTTGATCCAAATTAGCTCACATGTCGCCATAGCCATTGCTCAATATTCTGCTTTTGCACTAGACCGAGCAACCACATTCTTTTTTTTTTGAGAAGATAACAAGTTTTATAAATAAGTAGAAAAACCTTTAGCATAAAGATTATGCTAAATGTTAAAGATAGTTACAATACTCTCGAAAAAAAGCAAAAATGCAAACCCAGACTTGTGGTAGTTACAAAGACCCAATAATATCCACTATAGACTCTACATCCTCCACCAGAGCTTCTTTACACCAAAAGTGAAACAAAAATATACAATTCGTCTTGATCTTCTGTTCAGTGTTAGCTCTATCTTCAAAACATCTTGAATTTCTCTCCAACCAAATTGTCCACCAAATACATGCTGGGATCAACCTCCACCAATGCTTCTGGCTCAGTAGAATACCTGGGTCATTCTAGCAAGCTAACATTTCTGCAGTTGTCCTAGGTATTGCCCATTTCACACCTTTCATACCCATGAAAAGATACCACAGCCTACTAGTTACTTTGCAATGTAAAAAGAGGTGGTTGTTTGTTTCAGTCTCTTTTCCACACAAAAAACATTTGGAACACATAAGCATTCCTCTCCTCATTAAACTGTCATGAGTTAGAACTGCCTCTTTGACTACAAGCCAACAAAAGCAAGCCACTTTAAAAGGGATTTTCACCTTCCAGATGTGCTTCCAGTGCCATGTCCCATTGTTCATGTGACCAGAGCTATTTAGGGTTCCATATGCTGACTTTACAGTATATACTCCTTCGTGGTTTCTTTCCCATATAAGTCTGTCCTCTTCTTCTGTGATGCCCTTAAGCCATCCAACAATTTATAGAATTCAATGACTCTCGTAACCTCCCAGTCATTGAGGAACCTTCTCACCCCTCGTACTCCATACCTCAGCCACAGTAGCTTGTGGCTGATGCACTATAGTGAACAAATCTGGAAAAACCTCTTTAAGAGGTCCATTACCAATCCAATCATCATTCCAGAAAGAAGTTTTATTGCCATTCCCCACTTTTGATACTAACATTGCTGATAAATCCTAGCCATAAATTTCTAATTGACTTCCATACACTTACACCATAGGGTCCAAAAGCTCCTGTTGTACACCACCTTCCATCTGCCCCATATTTTTCACAGATAACCTTCCTCCATAAAGCTTGATCCTCCAGGGAAAACCTCCATAGCCACTTCATAAGTAAACTCTTGTTATGTTGTCTCAAATTTCTGATTCCCAAACCTCCATCCCTCTTGCTTTTTAGCAAAGTGCTCCATTTTACCAAATTGTAGGCCTTCTTCTCCTTTTTCCCTTGACATATGAATTTCCTCCTTAAAGCATCCACTCTTTTCTCAACTTTTACGGGAATTGGGAAAAGAGACATCATGTAAGCAGGAAGAGCGAGCACACTATTGACTAAGTAATCCTTCCTCCCAGAGAAAGATAATTTCCTTTCCATATAGCAAGTTTCTTTTCACACCTCATTCCATAACTCTTGGGATCTATTTTTTGCTCCCAAGGGCATCCCCAAATATGTTGTTGGGAGATTTCCCACTTGACAGCCCAGCACCCCTGCCAATCTTTGAATGTTGATGACCTCATTAACTGTGTACACCTGTGACTTAATCCAGTTGACATGTAACCCTGAGACAGCTTCAAAGACAGATAAGATCAACCTCAGATGTCTAACTTGCTCTTCTTTAGCATCACAGAACACTAAAGAATCGTCCGCATAAAGCAGATGAGTAATCTCTAGATTGCTACTGACATTATTCACTGCCTTGAAACCCCTTATCAACCTCTCCTGGTTTGCCTTCTTAATCATACTATTCAGACCTTCCATTACAATTATAAAAAGGAAAGAGGACAGAGGGTCTCCTTGCCTTAGCCCTCTCTGTGAAGAAAAGAAACGCTCTGGAGAACCATTAACTAAAATGGAAAACTTAACAGTGCTGATGCAGAATCCTATCCATTTGATCCACTTCCTTCCAAAGCCCATATTCTTCAGAATTTTCAGCAAATAGTTCCAATTTATGTGGTCATATGCCGTCTCGATATCTAGTTTGCCAAGGATCCTAGGAATCTTACTTTTAACCCTGGAATCAACACATTCGTTTGCTATTAGGGCTGCATCCATGATCTGCCTACCTTTGATAAAAGTCATTTGTTGAGTGTCAACCAGTTTGTGAATTACTGTCTTCAATCTCTCTGTCTGCATCTATGATCGAGCAACCACATTCTGTTTCTTGCTCTTCCAACATACCAAATTTTCTCCTACTAAGACACAATATCCAGAAGTAGAATGTTTATCAGAAGGTAATCCTGCCCAATCAGCATCTGAGTATCCAACGATCTGCTCATGGCCTCGATCCTCAAGCAATAAACCTTTGCCTGGAGTTGATTTTATATACTGAAGAATGCGAAAAACTGCATCCCAATGACTATCACACGGAGAATCCATAAACTGGCTCACTACACTCACAGGAAAGGAAATATCAGGTCTTGTCCCTATAAGGTAATTTAATTTACCAACCAACCGCCTATATCTTGCAGGATCGCTAAGAGGCTCCCCCTGTCCTGGCAGAAGTTTAGAATTCGGATCCATCGGAGTGTCAACAGGTCTACAACCTGTCATTCCTGTCTCCTCAAGAATATTTAAGGCATACTTCCGTTGTGAGATTACAATACCTGAGCTAGACTGAGCGACCTCAATACCCAGAAAATATTTTAGTTTGCCTAGATCCTTAGTCTGAAAGTGTTGAAAGAGATGTTGCTTCAATTTAGTAATACCGCCTTGGTCATTGCCGGTAATAACAATGTCGTCAACATAGACCACCAGATAAATACAGAGACTCGAAACAGAATGCCGATAGAATATAGAGTGATCAGCTTCACTCTGAGTCATGCCAAATTCCTGGATAACTGTGCTGAGCTTACCAAACCAGGCTCGAGGAGACTGCTTTAGACTATAAAGTGACCAGCGCAAGCGACATACAAGGCCACAAAACTCCCCATGAGCAACAAACCCAGGTGGTTACTCCATGTAAACTTCATTGTCACCGTGCAAAAAAACATTCTTAATGTCCAGCTGATAGAGGGGCCAATGGCGAACAACAGCCATGGATAAAAAAAGGCGAACGGATGCTATCTTAGCCACGGGAGAGAAGGTATCACTGTAATCGAGCCCAAATATCTGAGTATATCCCTTGGCAACAAGACGAGCCTTAAGACAATCAACCTTACCATCCGGACCAACCTTGACTGCATACACCCAACGACAACCAACAGTAGAGTTACCTGAAGGAAGAGGGACGAGCTCCCAAGTACCACTCGTATGTAAAGCATACATCTCGTCAATCATAGTCTGTCGCCATCATGGATGAGACAATGCTTCACCTGTAGACTTAGGGATGAAAACAGAGGACAAAGAAGATAGAAAAGCATAATAGGGTGATAACAAACGATGATAACTTAAACCGACATAATGGGGATTAGGATTAAGAGTGGTCCGTATACCTTTCCGAAGTGCAATCGGTGTACTAGGAAGAGACAAGTCCGCAGTAGGAGCAGGGTCAGGTGCAAGACGTGAATCAGCTGGGCCTGATGTTGGGTGCGGACGACGATGATATGTCAAGAGTGGTGTTCCTGTGGCGGAGAGTCTAGGAGGAGCCACACTAGACTCCCCAACGGTTGGAATGGGTAAAACTTCTGTGGCGGAAGGTGAAGGAGGAGCTATAGTAGACTCCTTAAAGGTCGGTATAAGTAAGACCTCAGATATATCAAGGTGGCCAGAATGGTCAGAAGAGGTAAAGAAAGGTTTAGACTCAAAAAATATGATGTTAGAGGACATAAAGTACTTACGAAGATCAGGTGAGTAACAACGATATCCCTTCTGAACACGAGAATAACCAAGGAAGACACACTTGAGAGCACGAGGAACTAACTTATCTTTCCCAGGAGCTAAGTTATGAACGAAACAAGTGCTCTGTAAGGCCCCGTGAATTTCCTACTCAGAACCCCGAATCCCGTGGTGCCAAGTTAGGAGCATGTGTTAGGATTCATAAAAATTCTTCGCGGTGAGCTTGCGAGCCGCGGTTCGGACCCCTTTGGATTGAACAATGCATTAAAAAGTCAAAAAATAATGTTTTCCAGAGAAATGCGATTTTGCAGTCGAGAATGCGGTCGCATATCAGGTATGTGGACCGCATAGGGGGCATAGTCACCGCAAAATGAGTCAATGTGTTAGTCAACTTTGAGGTTAAATATGCGGTCTATTATGCGATCACATAACCGATATGCGGACCGCATAGTCGTCGCATAATTTCCTTAGGATTTTGTAAGGAGCAGTTCTGCAGTGCATTATGCGACCCCAGAACGGGTATGCGGACCGCATTTCTACCGCATACCCAGACAGGATGTTCAATTTTTGGGAGCACTTTTGCGGTCCATTCTGCGGGCCGCATTTCCACTTTGCGATCGCAAATGCGATCGCAAACCTGACTCGGGGCTCCAATTTTCTAAATTTTAAACCCGACCCCTTATCGATATATTCGGTGTTATAGCTCATTTTGAGCATATTTTCTGATACTTTTAGAGAGAGAGGGGGGGTCTTAGAGAGGGAAGTGCTTCCCATCAAATTACTCCATGAAACCTTGCCAAATCTTTGATGATAATCAAGTGAGGGTACCTAAATCTTCATCCCAAGAGGTAAGACTTCATTACCTGAGCTCTTATTCCTATGCTTAGCAATAAGGGATCACTAGTGAAGTAATTCATGGGTATAAGAATAAATTTCTAGCAGTGAACTAAAAAGAAAGCAATTGGGGTATAAAATGATAGAAATTTCTCTCAAAAGGGCCTAAGATCACAATGCACCTTTAGTGTTTGATAGTATGCTCAAAACAAGTTAGAATCTCAATCTCGTCTCTAATTCTCGGTTTAATTTGTAATTTTTACACAATAGATCGAAGTGCTAAAAGTTCCGAAATTTTGTAAGGAATAAGGAAAGCTTTATTGAGGTATGTATGGCTAAAACCTCGTCTTTTAGAAATTGAGCTTCATCGTTGGTTGTGTGAGTACGGTAAGATTAAATTGAATTGTTGTATTGATTGCTATTTCACTTGACTTGGTGTTGCAACCTTATATGCGTGGAAACTGTGTCTCAAATTGATCAACGTGCTATTCTTGATAATTTGAAAAGGTGCAAGGACTATGAATCATGTATCGAAATGCTTAGACCTTAGATTGAAATTGAAGTGCGTTGTTGTGCCATTTACATGAAGTCTCATCTACGCCTACAACCTTATTTGCTCTTGTGTGTCATACTCTCTTGAATTACAAACCTAATGTTGAAAATGGGAACAATGTGAAACGTGAATTGTGGAATGTAAAAATTGTGACCCCAAGTGCCAGTAAACTAATACATGTGTAACCAAAGATTGGAGTGAGATGAATAATGGAAAATGGTAACGCCTCGGTAAGGCGGCCTAGCCGATCAGGCCGTGATCGGACGCCATGACATATACACATGGCGGTTATGCATTGATGATTGAAACTGGAAAGTGTCAATAGAATATTGGTAACGTCTCCGGGAAATGGCCTAGCCGATCGGGTCGAGATCGGACTCCGCTCAAGATAGTGGTGGTAACGTGAATGATGTGGAACAATATGAAATGCCCAACTAAAGGCTATGGAAACATGATGTGAAGGTTGTGTAATTCTTTCATGTTGATAATGTTGTGATCGTTTAAAGCTTTGGAGTGATACCTGTGATTTCCTTATTTGTGTATGAAAGTTCTTTCTAATTTGATGGTGTTTAGTTATACATACTAGTGCTATTCGATGGCATTAATGTCCCTTTTGCCGGGAGCGCTACATTTTTTTTAAATGAATATTGGTGGCTCCATAGCGGATAGTGTCGGTCGTGTGTAGCGAAGCATCCCTTTTCTCAAGATCTTGGTGAGCCCCTTTCTCCTTCAAGGGGCTATATTGTATATCTTGGTGTTGTGGACGTTCACTTTTGAGGTATAGCCGGGGCCTTGTTGCCGGCGTTGTCAAACTCATCTTTTGTATCCTAGAGGCTCCGTAGACATGTGTGGGTTATGTACAGGGGTTGGATGGGTCTACAAACCATGTTGTAATTCTAAACTTATGTTGCCTATAAATTGTAACTCTACGGGGATCTTGGAAACTAACTCATCTACGGTTTAATGTGGTGTTTAAAATGAACTATCAATGTAGAATGTGTTGTCTTTCCCCGTCTAAATGGATAAACAAAACTATGGTTTCTTTATTCATATCGAGGTGGGTAGGAAGTGTATGATAAGACTTGCTTAGTTGGGTTCGCTCGATTGAACGCCGGTTGCGCCTCCCGAGGTTGGGGCGTGACATGCTCCCAAAAACACGAGAGGGAACAAAGTATAAGGGTGACTGGGGAAACAATATTGCATACGAAATCTGATTCTGGATGGGAGATGAAGGCATCCGATTAACCAAATAACAAGTTGTGAGAACTACATCGCCCCAAAAACTCAACGGAACATGAGATTCAATGAGAAGTGTGCGAGCAGTCTCAATAAATTGCCTATTCTTTCTCTCTGCAACCCCATTTTGCCGAGGGATATAAGGACAAGACGTCTGATTAATAATTCCTTGAGAAGTCATAAACTGCTAAAATTGAGAGGATAAATATTCTAAGGCATTATCACTGCGAAAAGTGCGAATAGAAACACCAAATTGATTTTTAATTTCAGCACAAAAATTCTGGAATATAGAAAACAACTCAGAACGATCTTTCGTTAAGAAAATCCAAGTACATCTTGAATGATCATCAATGAAACTAACAAAATATCGAAATCCCAAGATTGAACTGACTCTACTAGGACCCCATATATCATAATGAACTAAAGAAAAAATAGACTCTGCATGACTCTCAATACTATGAGGAAAGGAGGCTCGGGTATGTTTCCCGAGCTAACATGACTCACACTCTAATGTAGATAAACTAGGCAAACTAGGCACCATCTTCTGAAGCTTGGATAAGCTTGGATGTCCTAAACGTCTGTGAATTAGGTCTGGAGGATCTGTAACTAGACATGCCTTGGAGGAAGTGAGTGAGTCAAGGTAGTAAAGACCTTCTGATTCAAGTCCTGTTCCAATCGTCTGTCCCGTACTGTGGTCCTGCATAATAAAAGAATCATCAATAAAATATATGCCACAATGGGGAGAGGTGATCAGGCAGGACATGGTACGACTGCAGATTTCTGAGGACATGGCCCTTGATAGGAAGGTTTGGAGGTCAAGCATTAGGGTTGTAGGTTAGGGGGTAGTAGAGCTTTGCGTACTTCATACCGGGGGTGAGGCGGGGTTGGATTAGGATTGATCTTAGATAGCTTGCAGTTTATGTTGAATCCACACTATCCTTACTATTTATCTTAGCCACGGGCCTTAGTTACTGGTTACTGTTATTGCATGTCATTTATCTTTTGGTTGTTATGCTTATGTTACTATTATGGTTTCTACTGGAGTTACTAATGAATTGTCTCCTTCTCTTTTTCTTTTTCTGAGCCGAGGGTCTATCGGAAACAGCTTCTATGCCCTATCAGGGTAGAGGTAAGGTCTGCATACACATTACCCTCCCAAGACCCCACTTTGTGGGATTTTACTGGGTAGTTGTTGTTGTAATGGAGGGCACGAGTCAAACGACTAACAAATGCAAGATTAAAAGGACAGGTAGGGACATAAAGAACGGAATCTAGAGTGACAGAGGGTAGGGGATTCGCTTGTCCAACTCCTTTTGCTTTAGTTTGAGACCCATTGGCTAAAGTAACAGTGGGAAGAGATTGTGAAAACGCAATATTTGACAAAAGGGATTTATTACCAGAAATATGATCAGAAGCGGCTGAGTCCACAACCCATTGTCCAAGAGTACTAAACTGGGAAACACAAGCAAAAGAATTACCAGCAACAGAAGTATCAGTTTGAGCAACAAAGGCTACTTGTGGAGATGTCTGCTTACTTGCTCGATATTGAAGGAACTCATTATACTCCCCTTCAGATAAAGAAAATCCCTGGTTACATGTATCCTCGGTCTGAGCAACATAAGCATTTTTGGGTGGTTGACCATGTAAAGAATAGCATACGTCACGAGTGTGTCCAAGTTTATGACAATAAGAGCACTTGGGTCTAGATCTTCCAAAACGACCTCCTCCTCGTCTATTCTCCATAGTATGAGATGCTCGATTGCCCACTGCCTAGGATGTGAGAACAGATGAGTCAAGTGTTTGTGATAAGATCACTGGGTGACTTGGTGCTGCAGCAAGGCGAAGTAATCGAGAAAATAATTCATCAACTGTGGGGACAGTCGGACTAGCCAAAATCTGATCGCGTACGGAGTCAAGATCATTAGGAAGCCCAGCAAGAGTAAGAACTAGAAACATCTTTTGTCGCTGCTCTTGCTGCTTTGCTACACTCGCAGAAACTGGCATCAACTTCTCAAATTCCTCCATGACTGCCTGTACTTGTCCCAAGTAAGTAGACATATCTAATTCATGTTTCTTTAAATTTGTCATCCGCGATATCACATCATAGAAACGAGATATGTCATTAGTGTATAAAGTGTGAGCCTTTTCCCAAACCAAATAACATGTCTGGAATGGACAAAACAAGGGCATTAACTTGGAAACAATAGATCGCCAAAGAATACTGCATCATTGAGCACCGATCTTCTCCCAAAGTGCTTTGGCCTTTTCATCTCCTTTACTAGACTTTGTGATTAGATGATCTTGAACACCTTGACCTTTACACCACAACTCGACAGATGAAGCCCAAACTAAGTAGTTTGAACTTCCCATTAAAGGTTCTGAGGTAATCATAACACCGGAACTGCCAGAACCCGGGTTTTTAGACCCGAAGGCATCGACTCCTAAAGACATCGTTGGATTGAAGTGAGGCCTATAAAATTATCACCAAATAACAAAAAGAATCAACTGAAAACTCGCTGAAACAGATGAAGGAAACACTATTTTTGCCGGAAAATTACTGTAGTTGCCGGAAAAAATCAGTGTAGTCGCTAGAAAAACTCAAAGTGGTCGGAATTAAAAAATAAAATTATGGGTAGGCTCGGAATTTGAGGGCGATCCAACTACTCTGAAGGAATTTCGTCAAAAAGTGCCCGAAAAGTGCCTCACATCGGATTGCCGGAGAAATTCTTCTGGTGGTGCGTGGGGGCGCGTGCAGCCTTTTCCGCCGGAGATTTTTTAATGGGTTGGTCGTCGAGCTCTGATCTACTTTCCGGTGGTGTTGGTTTTTTGCACAACACTGACGGATAGTATGATTCTTGCAGACATACCTATTTTTACTGGAAAAAAAGGGCTTCCGGTTGACTGTTTTCTCTTCCCGGAGTCGCTGGAATTTATGCACAGCTATACATTTCTCACGGTTGCTCTGATACCATGTGAGAAGGCACGGGAGAAAATATTATTGATATTATTCTCTTATGTTAAACATGATACAATGAGCCCTATATATATATATAACATGTCCTACTCCTAATACATATCGGATTAAGGATATTTACTACTATTTACATAACTATTCTAACAAAAGAAAACATTCACAATATATTTTTTTAATAACAATAGTAATTGTTAAGATGCACACTATTTATGAAAAAAAAGCATAGATTGTTCTATATGGATTAATGGATAGATATTTGTATTCAATGCTAGTGGTACATTGATATGCATGACTTTGTATGTCTCGATATCAAAAAGACTATTTATTATTTATATAGATGTAAATAAGTATCATTTTGAATGCTGAGAAAATCTCCATATGGTCCTCATATAAGTATCAGATAGAAAACCCATGCAATATAACTTAACCCATCGGCAAATATATGTAAGAAATAGAGATACCATACATTCTACAAAACAAAATCTGCTTACATGCAGAGAATGCTATATATGTTTATGTTGGCAGGTTGAGAACCTACTGATGTCAAAGACCCACCTCTTTATTTCCCTATATATCAACATATAATGTTAAACTTTTTAGAGTAGCAACACATTTTATTAACAAACTTATGCACACACGTTTTCCACTTTATTTTTATGGCATGTCGATATGCCATACGTGGTAATCTTACTGAGGTTTCACATGTAGTATGCCCATAAGCAATAATATTTTGTCTCAACACAAATGTGCCATTTTGAATTTACCAAAACCAAGATACCTTCCTTCATATTTGGTATGTTTGAATAGGTATACTAGTTGGGTTAAGGTCTACTCATGAACTCTCAAGTGGCATCCAGGATAACACACATTTCTATATTTTGTTTTAAAAAAATTGCAACTATAATTAAGAACCTACAAGATGTTTAGATGCATGGATAGAAAGACTTTTTCTATTGAAGGCAACATGTCTGGAAAGATACAATAATATGGGCAGAAAACATGACAATTCACATGAAAACCCGCTTCTTTCTCACAACTACGAAAACTACAACAACCTCCGTGAACAGACGCTTTGTCAGTTCATTTTTTATATAACTTCAATTCAATAATTAAGAAAAAAGGTTAAAAAGGCTGAAGAAGCACCATTGGTGATTAAATCTAAGTATATGCCTTGGAGGCATTCAATGGAAAAATAATATTCATCCATCAGGGAAAAAAGGGACAATGAAATAACTTCGTCCAAAAAATACAAATCCCACCCTTGAAATTCGGGAAATGGTTGGACTATAGCTATTATTTGTTCACATATATTATCAAAAAGATCGTCGAATGGATCCGTAGTCTGCTCAAAACTCGGTAGCACGGGGAAATCCGCTTGGGTGAAAAAGGCGGGTAAATCTAGTTCAATCGGTAAATCCATCTCAGGAGTAAGCTGCTCCGTNCAAGCAATGTTGTTCCCACATGCCTATTCATTCATATTTGGTTGGATGAACCGACGAATCACCATTACAAGTGAATGATAAGCATTTTAATATCGGGCCATCTCATGCCGCTTCAAGTGAATGATAAGCAATGCCTATTCATTCATATCACTTTTCGCTAGCCTTAGTAGCCTATTCGAGTCGCACAAACAAAGAATGATAAACCATATTGGGAATTAGCCAGAGTGAATCGGCTCTGACGCTCTCTGCGTCCGTGGGATCAACTCCACCTTAGAGATCTTCCAGA